AGTGATGCATTATGGGATTACAGTGGATGGAAAACACAAACAGAATTGCACAAAATACATATTTTGTTTAGCGTCAGAAAACATTGTTTACATTTCTTAGCACCACAACACAGTGGAGTTTAAGAGAGTTTTAACACAAAGCAGAGGCGGGCGAAGTACTCAGATGATTTGCACATGTGGAAATACTATAAAATACTTCATTCAAGTAATTAAAGGGAAGCTGTGGAGGAGAAGATTTAGGTAATGGACAGTGGGGGTGCAGGGGTCGATGGTGGAAATAAAAAGGGTTAATTCACAAAAAAACACTTACTTACTAATCGAGCCAGTTAAACCAGGGAAGTGTATTGTAATTCTTTTTATAGAAATCTGTTCCAGTGAAGAACGTCCGGAGGCCTTGTTGTGATCGGTGCTTTTGTTTTTTCCACACGGTGAATTCCATGTCTCTTAATTATTTTGGGGTATACTTTTGAGATGCATATCAGACAAACTGAGCAGCTCTGCAGGGCACCACTGTGTTATGGTTAAGTGAAACAAAGGGTTATTTTGTGGCTGATTGGATTGAAGTTGGACAGACCGTAGAGCATCAGTGGTGGAAAGTAACTAAGTACATTTACGCTTGTATTGTTTTTGACATAATTGTACTTTACTGTACTGTCTCCACTACGCTTTCAGACGCAGTTTTGTACTTTTTAACTCATTATTACTTTTATTTAACACTCATAGTTACTACCTCCCCACCCTGGTGACAACATGGCCTCTCTGCAGCTCGATGGCCTTTAAGCAAATCTTTTCCTCAGGGTTTGGAGGAGACGAGGATCCACATGGGACTTGATCTCGTGATGAGAGGAGGGTGTGAAGTCCCAGTCAGTGTATGGTGACAGGAAGTGGATTTAAGCGTGTATATGAACATGATGATGGGTGGTGTCCTGCGTCTCTTGAACAGAGACAGCTGCGGGATGTTTTCGCTGCCACACCCTCACTGTGAAAAAGAAAACAGTGACGTGAGGTCATTACTACAGCTGATGTAAACCAGCTGTGAGGCCTGACGGGCTGCATGGCCTTTAAATGCAGAGTGAATGTAATCTTTAAAGAGTCCTCTCCTGCTGATGTTCAGGTGTATATCAGTATGTAGTGTCTCTACTTTAAAGAGTCCTCTCCTGCTGATGTTCAGGTGTATATCAGTATGTAGTGTCTCTACTTTAAAGAGTCCTCTCCTGCTGATGTTCAGGTGTATATCAGTATGTAGTGTCTCTACTTTAAAGAGTCCTCTCCTGCTGATGTTCAGGTGTTGATGTAGAAGAGACATGAAGAAGAGGGGACACATGTTGATGTAGAAGAGACATGAAGAAGAGGGGACACATGTTGATGTAGAAGAGACATGAAGAAGAGGGGACACATGTTGATGTAGAAGAGACATGAAGAAGAGGGGACACATGTTGATGTAGAAGAGACATGAAGAAGAGGGGAAACTGAGACTGCCAAAGGCACAC